GTGTAGGTCCGGTGTCGCGAGATGACGACGGCAGCAAGATCCAAATGTCCAGCAATCGAAGAACTCGCTCAGCCGCAATCCGTTTTGCTGTGTCTTGGGGAGCTTTACGCAGAAGCTGAGCGACACGCCTGACTGCTGCCCAAGTGTAAACCTCCGGGGGTATCTTCAAGAAAATGTGCTTAAGCGGCTTAAGCATGCATTGCCTCTTGTCTTGAAAAACTCACAGCACTGAGTCGCTGCACCTGCCTGCTCAACCTGTTGTCAACGGCCTTCTGTCATGACCGAACTCAAAAATCGGGTCCAAGTGGCGGAGAATATGCCCCAGATCTGAATGATCAGAAGGCCGATGGGCTCAGAAAACGCCTCAAACAGCCAGAGAGCAAATGATTTCCCACAGCGACAAAGCGCTATCTCTCTCTGCCGGGGCTAGCCACCGCGAAAGATGCAGCCGACACAAAGGACTTGCGTAGATGAAAGCACACGAAGTCTCCTAATCCTCTTGCTGTAAGTGTTTGCAAAGCCATTAGGTCATTAGGCCCAGGCTGAGAAGAGAGCGCCACAAACACCAGCAGCGACGCAGCTGAGCAGCGATCAAAAGTCACTTTTGCAGAAGAGCGAGTTTGAGGGTTCATGGCATGAGGGTGTCGGTAGTTGTAGGTACGTAGCTTCAATCGCGAATTTTGTGCCATCTAGGCCTTGGTTTTGGGAGTGGGCAGGCGATGGCCTTGCTTCGGACAGCCCTTCTCCAGCCTTTGTTTCAAGCTGTTGGTCTCTCTCACGAACGCAGGAATGCTGAGAAATCTTCGGCACAAGCGTCCTCGCTGTAAAGCCGGCTTCGTTGGTCAGAAGCTTCTACCTATGAGAACTTTCTGTGGCCGAACACTTTCGATAGATGCGCCGACAAATGGGGGGGCGCAAATGCAGATGAGCAGATAAGTCGTATCGTTCCTGTTCATCCTATTCATCCTTGCCCTCTGGAAACCTGAAGATGCCAACGATGCAAACTAGGGATCTGGCCAGGCAATGTACTCCTGTGGACAAGCAGTGGTCGGCAAGATGCGGATGTCAAAAACACATCTTCAGCACCAGCAGCCCTCAACACACACGGCACGATCACCTAAGACCATATCACAACATCCGCACACGCTTCTGCGCTAGAGCCCCAACTTTGTCCAACATCCGAAGGTCATAAAGACTTGTTTGTCTCAATCGGCCTGGGACTTGTTCCCGAACGGAAAGGGATTGGAACTAACCATGCCCATGGACTCATTTGGATCTCTGACGAGGATCACCTGGCAGCAGGAGCTAGCATCTTTGAACCTGGAGATCAGGACCGTGGTTCTGCATATGCTGTAGATGGAATATGGAAAGCAGTAACTGCTCTCATATTGCGTCATATTGCCAGCCCCACCTGAGTTGCTGCCTGGCTCAGGGCTACAAAGCCGGTGCATAGACCTTCAGCCAGGAGGTCTCCGAATGTAGGTGGGGTACGTCATCCAAGGATGCCGGTAGCTTTGCCGCACGGAAGTCAACAGCCTGAACCTTATAAGAGAGGTCTCGTCAACAGATCTGCAAAAGCCAATTCAAGCTTCCTGCAGTTTCCGAACCACCGGGTGGAGTTCTCGTGCATATCTGCGGAGAGCTAGCACTTGTACTGCTTGGGGGGTTTAAGTCAGTGGTATGCCTCAGCAACTGCGTTTACCAAAATAATCTGCTGCACACAGGCTTGCCAGACCTGATGGCGTCTAACCTGACCAACTCTTGTGACTCTTGTCAGCTCGGCGAAAGTCTCTTGCGACCCAGCCGCGCGCCCAGAAGCTGAGCGACCTGCCCGAAAAAAAAAAGGACCTCCTAGTTGTGCCTGCCCCCGACACGAAATCTCTAACTTTCAAGCATCGCAAACGACAATCGGCCAAGGCAAGTGCCATGCGTAGGTCATCATGTAAGGCCTGGCTGTCACGGCAAGCCATGAAGCCAAGCCGCACGTCATGAATGAACACGGACGACTTCATACATCGGGTAGTGCTAGCCTTTGCCAAAGCTCTACTATGGGACGTCGTGAGAGGAGTCCCTAGACAGAAGAGATAAGCCACACTTTGAGACAGTTGAATCCCGGCCGTCCAAGAAGTCATCCGTAGCTCGAGAGACATAAGCGTGCATCAAGTGCCCGAGCACGGCAAACGAGAAGAAGAACTCCTGCCATTCGAAAATCATGACACCTGGCCAGGGAAGTACTCCGGTGGTGTCAAGATAGGAAATAGATGGCGTCATGAATGCCTGCAATGCCCTCATCATTCCAGTGCTGATGCAAACTGGCTGCAGGACCTGCGGCGCGCAGATGCGAATACGGATCCTGGACCAGCAATGGACAGGCGGTCAATTCTTGCCGCAGTTCGGCTGGACTGCATGGGGGTAGAGGGAATGCCTGGGAGTCCCGATTGACGTGAGAGTGTTTTGGGTCTAGACAGTTGCTGCTGACAGCGTCTACTACATCTACTGCGAGTCGAGTTATGCAAGCTCTTGCCGTTCATGTTGTTATGGGCTTCTATCGCGAGATTTCGGGCTGCTGGTCGCGGCAGCAAGCAGCACTGGTGTCGTGTCGGAGTCCTGCGCGCCCTGGATCCTGGAGAAGAAACCCTAAATCGATGGGACGAGAATCAGTCCCTTGGGCCATGAGCAACGGTTGCGCGTGATGACGAACGAACCTTGTCTTTGAATGCCTGCTGCTCTGCTGCGCCCTCCCAACTGCCTCTCTGGACTCGTGCAAATTAATGGCTCACGAACCCCTAACCCCTTGCAGTGGAAGTGGTCCTGCACAATTTTCATTGGATCCTTCTTCTTTGAAGCTAGAATCTAGAGCCGCCCGCGTGTGAAGCGTCTCTGGCGGAGACAATCCACAGAGGAGAATCAATCTAGACAGGTCGTCGAGCTTTGGGTTTCCGGGCTTCCAAAGGCCTGTCGGAGACTCCCTCTTCCGACTAACTACCGAAGCTCTGCAATTGCAGAGAATGTCGTTTTCTGTAGACAGTGAGTCACACCAAAATGACAGAGTCACGTAGCAGTAGCAGTTGATCGAAACAAACAAATTTTGCAGTGTGTCTCACCATCTGTCTGTGTCAAGAGGTCACAGGCCCCGTACTGTACTTCACGAAGCATAAGATCTCAATCTCGTGGCGGCAGTTACTCAGTTACCAGATTACCATCTCTGCCGAACCCTCAATAGATCATAGAAACCCTATAAACCCTCGATTAGGCTTGCGCTCTCCGAACGCCGAATGCAATGACTAAGTCGGCGTATCCGTAATCTGTGCTGGCTGAAACCCTCGAGTATGAAGCTTTCAGAATCAATCATTGGACAAATCCAAGGACCAACACAGTGATGAAAATTCAAAAAGCTCTCACTTCAGCACACTCCGCTCTTCGAGCGGCGAGGCATCGACTAGCCGTCGCTTCACAGACTCCTGGCGACTGGCTTTTGGACTTCACATTCTTGGGAAGCTAATGTGTGCAAACGGCTGACAACATACGGAATCATGCATACAGACACAGATGCAGGGACACCCGAGGGGGAGAGAGAGAGAGAGAGAGAGAGAGAGAGAGAGACTGAGAGTGAGTGAGTGAGTGAGTGAGTGAGTGAGTGGATTGGTCGAAACTGGGCACGCTTGGAGTTCGAAATGTGTTTCAAGGCAACACGAGATTTTACCTTGCCTCGCCTCAGACTGGGAGATCGCTGCTCTGGGTGGACTCCGCCGGCGTTGCCTGCCATGGCTATGGCTGGACGCAGGCTTTTGTAGGGGCCAATCGACTTCGTACATTAACTTCCGAAAAGCTGCTGGTGCCGAAATCCCAAAGCCAACACGAAGGCATCCCAGAAAGTGCAAGCAGGCAAGCATAGGAGGGGGAGGGGGGTAGGGGGCCTTGATGGCCCTGATATGGACTTGATGAGGGTTCAATAAGGCAAGTATAGTAACCCTCCCCCCTCCCCCTTACCCCCATAAGAGTCCCTATGATGAGGTGCATTGGCCGGAATGATGCAACTTCAGCAAACCTCCTCAAAAACATACCCTCCCGTGCACAAGTTTGTGAAGGTGGATGACTGCTGCGAACGAAACCTAGGAGCAACACCGAAGCCACAAACTGCTGACTGTCCCGACCGAGGAGAGACCGGCATGGCATTTCTCATGCAGTATCTCAATTTCGCCTCCAAACTTGGCTTCGCCAAGTCTTGTCGGCACAGCGGGCAGTCCTTAGACGTAAAAGGGATCATAACGAGGCTTCTTTTGCGTCTCCGAACAAGACCAAAAACCTTGCTATGCTCGTGTGCTTATACAATGATGCTTGTGTAGATTTGCCCAGTCCCCCTCAGCACCAAGAACATTGAGAGTCGCTTGTGGTGGTTGGCAGAAATATCCTAGTAGTAGTGGTTGTAGAGTTGTGAAGGAAGTGGAAGGTCGTGGACTAGTTCAGTCGTAAATAGTAGTAAGTGGAGCAGGAGGAGCAGCACAAGGACTAGTATTTGCAGAGAGATGCTGGCAGTGGTGGTGATGGTGGCAGCAGAGGCAGACGCAGCAGCGGCGAGGAGAGCAGTGATGCGGCGGACAATAACTACAACGATGCACGATTGTGACGGCGACAACGACGACGACCATCCTGCCCGATAAAAATTCATATGGGAGTGTCGCAATGTTCGAACTGCGCAGCCAAGGATCCCGATTTACTTGCAGCCAGTCCTGTCAGAGCTGCACTGAGTCACCGAGTGTGGACTGTGGCTTCTCCACAAACACAAAGACGACCACGCATCGATTTGAAAATGATATGGGAGTTTCCGAAAATTAGGGGGTATCTTATTTGGGAGTCCTTACAATAAGGATCCTACTATTTAGGGTACTACATTTAGGGTACTATATTTAGGGTCCCCTTTATTCGGAAACCCTCATATGGCAACACTGCGCTGCACGGCAAGGCCTTGAGGCAGGCCTTGTGGAAATAGTGATTGCACTTCAAGGTCCTTCATGGCAACAGGCTATCTGAAACTCCCAAAACACGCCAGCCATCAGCACTCTCCCAAAAAATTGAAGATGGCATTTGCATCGGACGACTGTGCTCAGCTTCGAGGTGCATTCTGGCAGACTTTGCAGTGAATCAAGATGTGGAGGCGATTTTCGCATGGTCTGGCTCCTTGAGATTTCCTGTGACTCATCAGCGTCGGAGAAGTCCTGAAGAAAGCACGCAAAACACCGTTTACATGCATGTGCACGACATTCATGTCCCCCAAAAGGCAGCTTAACCCACGTGATCGTGAATCCAAGCGGCTCGTTAGGCAAGCTTGGCTATTAAAGCATCTCACAGGTCTTTGATTTGTTTGCGGGTACTGTAATAACCCGGTACTCTACTGTTGCGATTTTACGTCAAGCCCGTTCTGCTGCAACGGTGCATCCTCCAGGCAGATTGGACACTGGGGAGAGTCGGCCAGTTTAGCTGCTTCGGCAGTGACCTGCGATGCGGAAGCAAAGGATCGTGACCCTTATTTCGTGGGCTCCTGGTGGAAGGCTGCAGGGTGGGGTCTTCAGATACCGGCCAAACATTGCAGTCTCCACGATCCATGGAAACGACAAAGACCTTGCCTTCTCGGTGCTCGCCTCCAACGACCCTTCCGGTGCCGCCTTGCTGGACTGGACAACTCCTTAGAAGCAAGGCCAAGGCCGCCAGTCGTTGTCCTCCAAAGCCGAAACACAAAACTTAGGAAAGATCTGTACTCCGCAGCAATAGCTCCTGAAGCTCACGCAACCCAGACGGAAGCTTGAAACAGCCGAACTGCAGCGTGCATGATCTTTGTAAGCCCGGAAATGTCCAGGTGTTGCTTAGGCCCGCACCCATTCGAAGAAGCATTCGAAAGAAGTATGCTAGCCTCCCAAAGGCAAGGACAGACGACAAAGCATCGCGTGGGACGTGCGCTGCTGTTTCAAAGTCTACGCGCAGTCTCCATACAGTCGCACACCCCTCAGACCTGCAAAGGGTCTCACAAGGCAGCCGAGTCGCCCAACAATGTTGAGGAACATGAACACAGTCAGCGCCTGCAAGTCTCTGCTCTCGAGCTTTGTAAACCAGGGACTGAAATCTGCTGTTTGGCATTGAGACGAAGAGCGCAGAGCTGCGAAGGTTCAGGGAAGATCAGGGAAGCTGCAGGAAAGGCACATGCAGTGCATGCGCCTAGCTGCAAAGCTGGTTCTCGAATATTCTCACCAAGCCACGATGTTAACCGTTGCGAAAGCCAAGATGGCATCGATCACACCTCGCCATGGCAAGAAAGGACAGATCAATGCGAAGCGTGGGCCCCTTCAGTTTCCACTAATCGCTGCAAACTGCCGGACTTGGCGATCCGACGAAAGGTGGAGATGGAGATGGAACTCATGCAGGCCTTGGCTTTCCTCTTGACAGACAAGCCGTGGAACTTGAGGCGCAGTGGACAGCCTGCTTGCATCGGCAGGGCCAATTCCGAAGCTAAGCAAAACCACAGGTCTCATTCAACTTTCAAGGTACCCTTCTCCCCCTGTGCCTGGCCCAGTGGATACCGATGGCGTTCCAGCTGAACATGAATAGCGGCAGCAACAGATTGAAGAGCTTCACCCGCAACCTGACACAGGGGAGGCTCGTGAAAGCGACTTAAAGAGTCGTAGAGTCTCGGAATGTCTCGGAGAGGGTGCCGAGTTTTCCATTTGAGAGCATGCCGAGGCCGACACGGAGCACGGTGAGGAAAATCAGGATCAGGCTCCCACGCGCCTGCAAGAAGGGAACAGGCGAAAAGCGACGCTACGTCGCGTACCGTAGCTGAGTTTCCGTCAGAGGGTGCTCATGACCCTGTGGCCACAGGCGGTGGACTTGGCCTCAGATGTAATCTGATATGATCTGATTGACTCTTACCTCGGTCGAAATTCCCGAGGTTGAAGCATTACCGCACTACGTCCTGGAAAGTTGCAAGTCGGGAAATGCAGCGTCTCGTGTCGACCGTGCGACGGATTGGCTAACGAGGGTTCAGATGCAGCCGCCCATGGTTGAAATGACGAAGTGCGACCGACTGAGGTGTCGACAAAATTCAGGATCATCATGCTGTACAGGACGAAAGCCCAGAGAGTCAGAAGCCTTGGTCCCGATCTGCTTACAGGACGCTGCAGCCACAACAGAACCCCGGAAGAGAACCACCGGGTTGCACAAGCAGCATGAGCATGCTGGGGCCTCTGCGAGTCACAGCTGTGGAAGCCTTTCACATAGGCCTGGCGGATGCACACGTGCAAATATTTAAGCAGGACGGATATGACGGGCCTTGGCCCAAACGAAACACAGCCTCGGTACAGGAACGACACGAGATACACGCATGCAGACAGGCGGGCACACACACACACACTCTCTCACACACACACACATACACGGTCTTGTCAGGCTGAACGCCTGGTGCAAATTACATGAAGATGATGCTGAGAAGGATGATGTCAGTCAGTCCGTCCGTCCGTCCGGCAGTCAGTCAGTCAGTCAGTCAGTCAGTCCGTCAGTCCGTCAGTCCGTCAGTCAGTCATACACCTGGACGGGTAAGGCTTGACGCACCGTTCGATACCAGACAGTGGGTCCGGTTGCTTCGCGGCCGCCCAAACCATGAAGAACTCTGCTTTTGCTTCAGAAACCCAGTCCCGTTTCGGTCAACCTACTCGGCTCACATACCTGCTGGTACAAGTAGCAGGCTGAAGGGTTTCAGGCATGAACGCAGATACGTGCAACGGGTGGTCCAGTGCAGATGTTAAGACCTTGCCGAACAAAAGCAGCTGGCATTGTACGAGCATGTCAGAAGCGGCATTGCAGCGTCCCCGATGTTAGACTGTCAGACAGCCACGTGGAATGCCAGTGATATTATGGCGCAGATGTGGGTTTGGTAAATCACGTACGCAGCGACGTCTGGCAGTAAGGACCATAATTAATGATTCAGGCCATCGTTTGGACTCAACCAGAGTTTTGAAAAGAAGCCTTCCGATGAGCAGGGAGTGAAGAGTCCTGCCAAACTTTCAGTAAAGTCTGCTTTTGGCATCCCGATTCGGCGAGCAAGCTCTTGTCCGGGCAAACCTCTCCAAGTGACGACGGCACCGAAAAAGTTTATGTCAGGGCTCGATTCGATGTCTTCCCACTCGGTGTACGAATGCGTTGCGCTGAAAATAACTGAAACTTTTCGAATTTTTTGGCTCGATACCGTATAGCTTTTCAGCATCGACGACTCTAGAAAGGAACTCTTGCTCGTGACCACGGGAAGTTGCGAGAAGTAATGTGTCATCTGCATAGACAATGTCCAAAAAGTCTCCTTTTCGTACGACTGCAGATGGCATAGCAAAACTGGCAACGGCATCATGCATCAACATTGTTAGTCATGATGACTAACAACGGGCGCAGCGTCAGACGCAAAGGAATGGCCCAGCACAACAATGAGATGAAAGGTGAATGAAGACGAACACCTCCCTAGCTGTAGACTCTAGCTGCCCGCGACGAGGCCCAGGAGCTAACAGCCACACTCCCACTCCCACGCCGGACATGGGCAAATCTTCGACCAGTAGCACTGCTTGGTCGAATGCAGCATTCAACTGCCCGGGCACCCGGCCAGACTAGCATGACCACGGTCAGCATGCCTAAAACGAAGCTGCTGATGCCAAACCTGAGATGCAGCAGTGACCGTGTGGAAGGAATGACGCTCAAAGTCGAAAGGCAAAGGCCGCATCACGTGCAATCGTAACCTCCGAGTGTCCAAACCCGAGCCGTACACCTCTGCTTGGCCAGGCAAGGAGCATTAGAAGCCAATGTCGGCATACCTCTGCCATCATTTCCTGCCGATGTTTGGACTTCACTCCGCTGCAACGCCCGAAAGCTCTACAAGCAGCAAACGGGAGTGCTTGGAACGCCCTCTGCTACAACTCCCGAGGCTGAGAAGGTCCGTTGCAGCTCAGTCCTGCCGATGCTGTCGGACCTGGTTGGGGCTTTGGTCATGCCGACGGTGCTTCAATGTACAGTCTACGGTGCTTTTGAACGCGCACGATGCACAGACGGCACATGTCAGGTGCCGGACGAACAGGGCATCTACCTGCGCTGGTGTCATTCCCTGCGCAAGCAGCTCCTGCAATGGTGAGAGTGCCGCGTCATGACTCAGAGGCTCAGCAGCCGATGCAGGCTAGAAGCACAGAAAGCATGCAACTACCTGCATGCTAGCTTCTTCGTTCAAGCGTTTGTTTGAAGTGGAACGCAGCACTGACGGAGAGCCCAGGAAAGAGAGGATTTGTTCCTGGATCAACGCTAAAGAACCTCGACTGCGGACTCTATCGGTTGCACATCAAAGGACGAGAGCCTTCCTCGAGAGCACCTTCGAGTCCCTCGGATCCCGCATCCCAGGCCTGTCTTCGCACTTCGTCCCACTGCCCTGCCAGACTCGGCGAGGTTTTCGGTGTGACAAGCGGACTTTCGGTCGGACTGACAGTCTTGCGCAGCAGGCAATGCTCGGCTCACCCTGCTGGCCCTGCTGGCCTGTGGACAACGAGGAGACCCCCGAAAGCTCGGAGTTTACCTCAGAACTTCACGTTGCAAAACCCCCAAAAAAGCACGATAGGGTCTTGACTCCAAGTTGCACGCAACAACGATGCGATCAATACGATTCCGGAACTTGACAGTGACCGATTTCTGCGCAGGGACCGAGAGAAATGAGGGTGGGGCCCTCCACAAGCTGAGCACAAACAAAAGCTTTTCCGCTTCCACGTCTCCGCTCGCAGCATAGCAGCATCAGTGCAGCCCCGTTGCTGGCCGCACGGCGATCGGAACGTCGCCATCAGCCGGCCATTGGCCAGGTGCACCTGGTAAAAACTGGAGACAAGGAGACCACATGTCAACCGCAGTCGAGAACTGCTCACGCTGCGCGGTGCACACTGCGAGCCCTGGAGGGAATCTCATCCCACGAGGACTAGGACCCTGCACAGTTTGTTGAGGACGTTGGGGACAAACCCGCGCAAGTGAGACCATGGTGCCCAACGTCCTCGCCCTCGGAAAGGGGCCTTCGACGACCTGGCCATCCTGGCCGCGTGCTCCGAACATCTCAGGCTCCTGAGGAACGGTGACTGTGGACTGGAACGCACGATACCGCTGTAAGATGGTGTAAGCTTGTAGAGTCTAGAGTGCTGTGATCTAGCAGCTAGCATGCTTGCATGTGGTGCCGCCAGCTGGACTTCAGTGAAAGCCACTTCCGTTCAAATGATTTCAGCCGATTGTCGCTACATGCTTCAAGCAGCATCTTGGACCGGCATCGGCTGAGGGCCGCACCATAGTCCGTGCATCGGACATCAGCTACCAGAAACAGCACAGGCGTGCTAGAACATCTGGACAATCAAATACCATCTAGACGTTAATTGATGTCAGGTAGCTGCACTTTCCAAGGAGCCATGTCTGGCTAGGGTGCGGGTGGAGAGAGGGGCTGAGGGTGATGGGATGCTGGGCTGAGGATTGACTGAGGATAGGGCAAAGCTTTGCCCCTGCTGCTAGTAGCTGAACGCAGGAACGAAGTAGTGCAAGCACGTGGGCTCGACAGCTTGGTGCTCGGATCGAAGGCATCAAAACACACACACACACACACATTCAGACTGTTTTGTTCAGAGGCTCTGCCGGGCCATGAGCAATGCTTCTTCCTCGCCGTCCGACACTCAGTCCTTGACTTCAGTGTTCCTCGGATGAGAAACCGTGCAACTCTTGAAACACGTTATGCACGCCTCCACTGTCTCTCTCCTGCAGAAAGCCCAACAGGAATACCGCGTTGCTTCAAGTTCAAAAATACGGAATTGCAACTGCAACCTTCCCTAAACTACCGAATCCGGACCGTCCAGCCGCAAAACCCCAACACTGGCTGCCGGAGTAAAGGCAAAAAGGCAAGAGTCGACGCTGTTGGAAGCCCCAGGAATCCTAAAGAGTGTGTGTACAGCGTATGTGCTATGGGGAGGCTGCCGGTTATGTTTTGTATTCAAAGGAACCTGAGGTTTGCGATTCACCTTTCGGGGATCATGATCGAGGCCTCAGGGCAGAAGCTCTGAGGCCGTGTCGCCGGGTCGAGGTATGGGCAATGTGCAACCAAACCCATCAGACCGGACACATCCGGATACAGTCCAGGCGTCTACTCCTGCACTGGCCGAATCCTGCTTTCATCAGCTGCCCGGCATGGGCCCTGTTCACCGGCATCAGCGGGTTAACCTGCGGTCCCGCTGCGCTTACGTAAAAAATAATAATTGACGTCCCAGCAACATGTTGCATTCGAGTCTATAGTCTTTTGGATCTAGACGAATCTAGACGAAGAAAAATGAAATCGGGCAGCTGCTGCACGCTAGTCTGTCGACCGAACGAACTTCACATTCCGAATCTATGCCTGTTTGCCGATGCTATCGAAATCGCTCTGATAACAATGGCAAGCGAATATCTCGTTTAACTTCTTTCTGCATCTAATGTCGCAGGCCACTTTCTTGCCTCGAAGCGCCGGTCTCTGCTAGTCTTTCAGCGCTTTCCCACCTTGGAACCTTGCAGGCCAAGGCCAAGGGAAAAGTGGGTGCGCAAGATGAAACAGAACGACGACCGCGGTCAGTAGCCCCCATGTACATGCTCTGCCCTGATGCCCCCGGAAGCCCCCGTGGTGAAAGCAAGATCCTGCCGGCTGTTCTGAGAGCCTGACCATCGGACAAAGAAGGGCAAGATGGAGATCACAGCGCAGTAAGTGGCGCCGAACTGGACAGGTTCTTCGGGATCTCGATCGCAGGATCTACGGCAGTCTCGTCACCATGCTTGGCCTTCAGCTTGAACCAAAACTCTTCCCAGGCATTTTCCTTGGCTTTTCTCGCCTCGGCCGCAGGCTGGTCAAGCTTGCTAAGGCTTCCCTGGTTCTTGGTCACCGGCTGCCTCTTCTGCCTCAGCACCACCTGATCAGCCATCACACTGTACGATGCGGAGTCCCTCCGTACCCGCAACCAGCCGAACTGGCCCCAGACTCTCTGCCTGGCATGAAGAACATGATGCCCAACTCGCGGTCAGCGGTAGTGATTCACAGAACCTGGCGCCGTCAAGTGCCTTGATTGATACCGACCGAGCACTCAACACGAAAGATCAACAATGTTAGTCTGGACGTGGTCACGTACGAATAAGCTACTTTAGCAATATGACTAGTCCGTATCTTCCATAGTTCCGTCGTTCGAGTCGGCAGGCCTTGGTGGGCGACCCAGGCTTTCTCGGGCTCCGTTCTGCTTCCGGGCTCCCTGCAGCCCGTCTAAGCCCAGCATCGGCGGGCTGCGAAGTAGAAGCGTCTCGGCTTCAGCAGGCCCAAAGTGCCAAGGCATGTTCATGAGCGAACACTAGGACGGACGAGCCTGTGGCTTGCCTAGTTGTAACACTTTCAGCATGTTCAAGCCCTGGACACCATTCAGCGCAAACGTAGTAACATGGAGAGCGGGCCTTTTTTCTCGTGCCCGCCGTCGAGCTCGTTCGGCTTGAGAAAACTAGCGTTGACTCCGCGCAAATGCGACGGAGACGAGATGCGCTGGCATAACCTAAACTAAGTTCAAAGCGGCCGCTCGGGCCCTCGGCAAGAGCATGCTCGCAATGAATGCCCGAACATGCTTCGGTAAATCTGTCAACTGTGTGCTGCCACTGATTGGGCAGTCTCCGGTGAAAGCACCAGCCCCCTCGTCAATTCAGCCACGAAGAGTCTCAGCGACCGTCGCTGCAAGGTCGAGTTGCAAATCCAATAGCGACATAGCTGTATGTGTGCATGGAATAGATGAGTTGTCTCAAGGTCAAGGGGGCTTGAGTTGGCCTTCTAAAGAAACGTGAGGCGACTGCTGATAAGCACAGGCCGTTCTCTGAACTGTCTGCATCTGGCGTTGCGTTGCAGTTCCGCCGTGCCTTCTGGTCTATCAGCCTTGTGCTCAGCTGCAGCTCTGCCCGAGCACTCAAGGAGGGCACACAGCCCCAGGTGCAGGGCTCCTGCACGCTGTGGCAGGCTCAGAAGGAGAGTCACAGAAGGATCACTGGGACGTCTTGGTGCATGGCCCCACCGCGGCGGGCCTCGATTTTGGCACCGCTCGTGAGCCGCTCAGGCGGTCACTGCGGCAATTCCTTCGCGCTAACAGCACTACAACAACCAAAACAACAGCGGCCGCCTCTGTCTGAAGCAAACCTCTGCAACAACTGCAGAAACCAAGTCATCTCGTTGCTTACTCCTACAGCTTCATGACAGACTTTTGGTCCCACTCCTTCAGCACTCTTCGGCATTCGGTTCTGCCTCGGCTGGCTCCTGCTGCACCAATCGGCAAGAAGCTGTCTGAAACTCACGTGACTGATTCGAGCATGCCTGCGCTGGGCAGCTGTCTGACAGCATCACTCATGCGATCACAAGCTGACAACCCCTTGAATCCTTCCAACGGCTTCATGCCCCCGTGAGTTACGCGGCCAGCTTCCTCGGCGATCGCGTTGGCTTCGACGGGCTTGTCCTTGGGCTTGTCCTCAAAGGTGGGAAGCGCAGTAATTCGCTTGAAGAAATGTTGATGAGGTGGGTGACAAAGTTGATCAATGGCAGCAAAAGCTGAATTTCTATTGTGTTCATGCCACCTCTGGAGCGCATCCATACTCACATAAAACGACGGAGAAAAAAGCTGATGCAATTTCTTTCTGTCAGGGCGTTCGTGCGGCAGTCAGCATAACTGACCTGAGAACCCTGGCTAGGAGTTTGTTGTGATGCCGTGCCACGTGTGTGTGTGTCGCAAACTGGAGAATCTGTGTTTGTTTCAGCCACAATCCAACGTTGCTTCCTCAACTCTGTTCAAAGCTCGCATCGAAACCTCGAAGCACCATCTCCTAACAATCGGTCAGCTTCTATCGGCTGGGATGAGTGCCAGACAAAGAAAAATCTTACAAGTACCTCCACCCCACCGCATCCAGGTGCCCACTTACATCGTGGGCAAAAATGAAGTGAGCCATGCACACCACCACCGCCGCCGCCGCAGCAGAAGCAGCAACCCCAGTAACCAGCTTACCCAGAATTGCGCCCAAGAGATGCGAGGGAAATAAAAGCGAGTGAGGGAGTGAATTCATGCCCCCCCGGCGCCAGCATGAAAGCTGCCGGCCTCTGCCTTCTTGCAGTCGGCTTCAGAGATGGAAATGGAGGCAGCGTCGGGAGCTGGAGCCTCGACTTGGAGTCAGATACAAGGTCGCAGACGACTTCTTCAAGGGTCTGTGTTCAGAGTCCGAAGTAACCCAACACTTGACCTGCCGTAGCAAAAGTGTCCCGACATCTACCGGGTCAACGGTTGTGGGCCAGGGAAGGCCCATATTAGAACAATTAGCACGCTATTGCCTGGCAATATCCAGGAGTGCTTCTGAGAGACAAAGGGCAACGCTCAAGATCAGAATATCAGAGCCTTCAACACTGGAGCAAAAAAGCAGGGGACACGGAAAGTAGTGGTGTTGTTGTATTTGTGATCTTTCGCGGTCCAACACAGAAGTTTTGATAGGGGGAACGAGCTTTTTCTAGACCAAGGCGAGGACATCACTGTTGCGGATGTTGGGACCGGGAGAAGTCGCAACACAGCGTCATCAAGTGAAGTCAACCAGTATGCGATGACGAGTCCGCTTCTGACCCCAGGACCCAATGATGAGAACCTGGATGTTATCACTTCCAATTATGCACATCCAAATGCTGAAACAAATGCAACTTTGAACATCCGACGCGATCCTGACTCCTGCTTGAATTCGGTCTCTTCCTATGGTACGGAGCAACAGAGCTGAACGGCCGCTCTCGAAGTCTTCACATAGTTCGACACATCCAGATAATTATGTTTACTGGGGAGATGCTGAAGCCTAGAGAAACGACATGGCAAAGAAAGCCCTGAATCCAAGTTTGAATCACTCGGGACACAAAAACTTGCTGAAGAATTCCGAATACTGGATCGTAACCGAAACGGTCGTTATATGAGTCGCAGATATGCTGAACGCGATGTAAGCCCGATGGTGATACGACTTCGCCTGGAAAGATACCACCTAAACTCCGCCTGGTAATGCTGATTGAACTGTAAGCCAATCTGCCCGAAGACCACGGACCACTGAAATCTAAAGCAGCACATGCCAACTTGACCCGGCTAGGAGACCGGACTTGATCTGCTTGCGGAGGATCGGAGGATTCAGCGGAAGCCATGGCCACCTTCGAACTCAACAGACCAAAGCATCCCCTGCCGAAGCACTGAATCTGCTAGAAGGTCAAATGCCTCCTCGGTCTGCTCCTGTGTGGCCTGGGCCTGTCAGATTGGGAGGGAAACACCAACCACTCTTCCTGGGAAAAACAGGGGGCCACGCCTCCTCTTTCGGAGCCGCACCCTCCTGCAACGACAGCAGGACTGAAATTATTGCAACCGTCTCGTTATCGTCACGACTTCGTCTTCCTCACATGAAAGCTGTGGAAGAGCGAAAGGACATCGGACCACATGTGGGCGCTGAGACGCCAGGCGCGGCGCCCCGGCCTCGGTCTCCGGCGAAGGCTCCGCGGCCTCGGCGGCCTCGGCGGCCTCTGTCTTGGCCGGCGCGGGGTTCTTGTCGATGTTGAAGACCTCGCAGTTCTCGGGTACGGCCTGGCCGGCGCGGCGTTCGAGCCCGCCTGAAACGGCTACTGCACCGGGCCTCGACTTTTGCCTCGTGGTCCTGGCCTGTCCCGTCCCAGAAGGTGCTCCAACCCTGGCAGAGCAGTTCGTGATGAGTGAACAAAGAGGGGCTAATCAATTCATCTTTTCAGGACGGCCTCCTTGGACGAAGCCTGATCAGGTGCAGCCTGCGATCTCACTACATCTCAACAGCAGTTGGAACTAAGTGAGTGAGTGCATGAATAAATGGTTAAGTGAGGAGTGGCACGTGAACAAGGTAGAGCCTTGCCATGCCTGGTCAATTGGAGTCTATGTTGGCAGTGCCCCGGCAACAGCCCCACAGTGCAGCACCCACGGAGCGATCAGCACAGCGACCGGTGCAACACGATGCGGGCCCAGCCCAGCAGCTGTGCAGCTGTTGCAAGTCGGGAATGGCCTTTTCGGCAGCAGGCTCCAAATCCAGAGGCTTCTCAGCCTGTCTGTCGTAGCAAACTTCGACATGTGCCCTCTAGTGCCACTGTCTTAGGATCGGCCTCGGGCGCCAGCTCGGCAGCCTGGGCCGGCAGGATGCAAAGTGCTGTCCGTGCCAGTCTGCGTCAGATGTGCAGAGGCGCTCTCGCAGTTGCGGGAGTCACTGTGGGCTCGGCCGGCTGCTCGGCGGGATGCTCCTGCCAGAGCAAGCAGAATTCTGCACACCCCTTCAGAGCCGTAAGGTCTGCTCGCTCAAGAATCAAAGCCGACGTGTCAAGGGAGGCTTGCCTTGTCATACAAACTAGCACTTGATCTGTCCTGCACGGGCGCCTGCTCGGGATGCGGCTGGGAAACCTTGCCGTCAAGCTCGGAAGCTTGCGATGAGTTGGAAAGCTGGGATTTCCAGCAAAAGGTGCACAAATGCAAGCGCATGCATGGATGCCCTCAAACACGATGCGCATATATGCAGCCAGCAAACTATTCGGCCATGCATCCAACCATCCAGCCGTGCATCTGTCTGTGCACCCATCCAGGCATGTAGACAGACTTGTGCGATGCTTATACATATACATATACATACTCACATACATATCCATATACATATACATATACATATCCATATCCATATCCATCCATCCACCCACACATGCTATAGTGCATATGTGTGAATAGATAGGGATGGATTGCTGGATGGATGGGGAAACAACAAGATAGAAGATGGATAGGACGGATCGGTAGATAGATGGATAGCCTTGTAGACACGCAGATATCTAGGATAGATGACAGAATATACACACCGATAGGTTCTTTGATAGATAGAAAGACGGACAGGGAGATAGATGGGGGAGACATAGGCTCAATGACTCAACCCCGAAGCGGAATCTTCTGCATAGAATTCCTGAACCCGACTGCCGACCACAAATGTCCCACCACACGCCACATGACGGAGGAGAGTCATGGGAAGGCCGTATCAACAACAGAGCAGATCTTAAGATATACGTCTATACACATGCCAAACAGAGGATGACAGGTCAATTAATCGTCACTTCATTGCGAGGTTAATCAGATTAGTAGGTTTGTCGACAGAGAAGGGAAGCTGGCAGGTATGCGGGTAGGAGATGGGTAGATTCTGCAAACAGGCAGTCAGGCAATCGTATAGATAGGCATTGCCTCACAAAAATGCTCACCGTAAGATGCGTTTCCATGTCTTTTTTAGATGACGTCACGCCTGTTGCTGCAAACTCGAGTACCCGTCACAGCCTCCGCTTCTGCGTTCGCCGTGGAGGTGTTCATTTCCTGCTGCACCTGTGCACGGGGCTAATGGGGTGAGCGGTTTGTGCAGAGGCGCGATCGGCAAAGGCCTGAGCTGCCTGATTGGGAAGAACTGCTTGCTCAAAAGCAATGAAGGCCCTTTGGTTTTGATGTTAATTGCACGGCTCGCAACAAGGCTCAAGAGAACCAAGGTGCCGAGTTGGAGAGACTAGGCTGTACACAAATGCAGTCTCTCAATGACCGCAGAAACGAGCCAGGACCAGACCATGCACTGCACACCCCCCCTCAAATCAAAAAAAATGTGCCGTACCTCAGGGTGTGTTGCCTCAGATGTCGACGGAGCATCCTAGGCCGGAAGCAGGTAATCTTCTCAATGGTGATCCTCAAAGCCAGCAGCTATGCAAACCCCACATCTGAAAACACATGAAAAACACAAACTGCAATGTGGCTCGGAGGTGGAGATTTGGGGCCGATTGGAGCTTAGTGCCCAGAGTCCAGAATCATGAATATCTGGCCACTTACACTGTTGCGAAGCAGCACACAAGGAAGAACGAGTTTCATCGAGTTCTCGCTGGGCGTGGAAACGATTTGCGGGTGCGGGTTTCGTTTCCCGAAATGAGTTTTAGGCGAGGGCTGTGTTTAAATTTCACAGTGTGGCAGGCCACAAGAGTTGCCAAATTTAGCGAGACCTGGTATTCCCGCCTGGGATCTCTGGCTGCACTATTCACTCTTCCCTGGCACAGTTGAGTTCAGCCTGAGTTCACGGTAGCTGTGCACCTCTCCGAGCTTCAGTCCGAAACCCGCCTCACTCCGTGAAAGCAATGTTAGTAGCGCCTGCCCTCCGAGCTCTGGGCCTCTGGAGCCGTCACAGGGCCATCTTCCTGTGAAAACGCGTGCCCTGAGTTTGGTTAAGACGCGTAAGCTTGAGTTGCATTGGGTTCGGGCCCTTGAAGGGATTCAGTTCTCTAATAAGCTAAATGTACGGTGAGTTCGGGGATGCGCCTCTCCGAGTTTATTCCAAAACTCCGTGCAAAAACAGCAGCAATCCTTAAATTCAACCCAACACAGAAACTTTCTTACCCTGTGGAAACTCCCTCCACAGCCTGCTTCAACTCTGCCTCCACGGGCGGCTCCTGCTGATCGGATGATACAGCTTAAAGCCGAAGCTGGTGTGTCGGCAAAGGCTTCCTATGCAATCAACCTAACACATCTTCTGTCCTCTGTGGAGACTTGCTCGGGTTCTGTCTGGGCAAGCAAGGAAGACAGCAGGGCCTGCTCCTGCATCGAACATCCAGGACTGATCGCCGAGGGGACAGGAGCATGCATTAAATCCTTGACTAGAGGCATGTACGCGGATGCAGATATGTAGAACAGATACGAGCAGGCTTAACACACCTCTACACTTCACAAACACTGATACATACATGCATTGCATGTATTCATACATGTGCACATATGCATGCATACATTACATATACATACATACATACATACATACATACATACATCCATACATACATACATACATACATACATACATACAATTCAGAGCAAAAAACAAACAAACGTCACGGAGAGGCAAACAAACACAAACACACTTACTGGCAGATGAATACCGTACAGTACGGCTGGACACAGAGAGAGACAGAGAGAGAGCGAGAGAGCGAGAGAGAGCGAGAGAGAGAGCGAGAGCGAGAGCGAGAGCGAGAGCGAGAGCGAGAGCGAGAGCGAGAGCGAGAGCGAGAGCGAGAGCGAGAGAGAGAGCGAGAGAGAGAGAGAGAGGGGGAGAGAGAGCGAGAGAGAGCGAGAGAGAGCGAGAGAGAGCGAGAGAGAGAGAGAGAGCGAGAGAGATTGAGAGAGATTGAGACAGAGCGAGAGAGAGCGAGAGAGAGCGAGAGAGAGCGAGAGCGAACATGAGCGAGAGCGAGATGCAGAGGGAGAGGGAGTGAGCTAGACGAGTTGACAACTTTTCTGGGCCGGATCCGAACAGAAGCGAAAAGACCGGACAGGTAGGCAGACAGCTTCGACAAGAGAGCGGAGCGAGAGACGGAGAGGAAGAGAGCGACAGCGAAAGCGAGCGTCGGCCGGGAGTCCTGCGAGCTACGTAAGTTGCAGAAGCTGACGGAGTTACGGGAGTTGAAGCGGATGCGGGAAGTACATAAACATACATGACTGTGGTGCAGGGAGGGATGGATGGATGGCTGGATGGATGGGTGCGTGGACTGACAGGGTTAGACATCTGCCAAGTACAGGTTGCTGTGTACAGTCAAAAGGGATAAGGCATGCGAAGGCCATGCTAGCAACAACATCTATTGGAGCCACTTGAACCTAGTCTTGTGCGTGTTTAGGGGTCTGACTCTGGCCTCTTAGCGCGGAAATCTACAGCTTCGCTCAATTACGTAGGGCCGCACCTGCTGACGAGCTACAGCATGTGTTGTGACAGAGCAGCACATTGTGGACGATAATGTCCGGTGACTTCACGCTCGTTGCAACAACCTATCCACGACTCATGGCCTCTGGTTTGGCAACCTGGCACTCAGGGTCGTCCGCTGGCTCCTCCAAAGTGTAATCAGTGTAATTAGACAGCTGAAGGTCTGGGCGATTTGTTCTTTCGTAGCAATGCTTGAGCAGCCTTGGGAAGAACTGTTTGCGTTGCTGAGCTACTCTGGCGCATAGTAGGGAGAACAGAAGACATTACAAACAGTACTTATGCTCTAATGACCTAATGGTCTATTCGACCAACATGCGTTGCTCCGCTTTGTTGCAACTTCAGAATGTTGGACAATGCCAAAACGGAGTGAAGGACTCTGCAAGTATGGCTCGCTGCCCATGTCCACATTATTTCATCTTGCGCCTCGGCTTCGTCAAAGTCCACCAACCCAGTTCGAGAGCACTCCTCCAGCACTGCAGCTCTACCGGCCGAACTAGGGAAGCACTGGAACTACGTCTGAGTTTCTGCGACGTTGTGCCTAGAGAGTAAAGCATTACGGCACAGGCAGGCGAATCAACACTTGCAAATGACTCGAAAAGAACACATCGTGGCAAGGAAAGAACAGGAGACTCCACATTGAATAAGAAACAAGTTTGCAATGAGAGCCCAAAAAACAGCCCGGACAAACAACGTCAAAGACGGCTCACTACATGCATCGAGTAGCTCTCCCAACGGAAGCCTGATCCGGAGACGTCTCGGATGGCTCTTCGGGTTCCTGGGAGATGTCTGCAGGCTGTGGCGGCAGCTGTGAGTGAGTGCCGTTAGTCGAGACGTGTGTGTCTGAAACAACACAACAGAAGAGACCATACAGGGAATGAACCAACACTTCGGTCACTGTAGTCATGGTTTCTGCCAGAACCTCCGGAGTAGCAACTAGGCACGCAGCAAAGAAAGATTGAATGCAGCGCTTCTGCAATGACCGAAAAGTTGAAGCATCCAGAATTCCACTTGCCCAGGCTTTCTGCAGCAACCAGGCCCGGGGCCCAAGCACTGCGAAAAAACTGTTCTTGAGTAGCTCAGAAACATCAACTGTGAGTTCAGTTGCGCATACCTCCCTGGGCTAGGGCCCAGCATCACAAAGAAAAACCTCCATGCAGTGTGCTCGGCCCTCGCGTGTTTACCAGCTTTAGGCATCTGCTTCCGCTAGCTCTGCTGCTTTGGGCCGCCACCGCGGCACCACCAGCACCAGCACGAGCACCAGCACTGCCGCCATCACCAGTAACGCCATCACTACAACGACAACGAAAAGAGACAACGGCAACAGCAACAGCAACCGCAACAACCACCGGCACCACCACCACCACCACCACCACCACCATTACAACCACAACCAGCCAGAACCAGAACCATAACAGCATAACAACAACGACAACGACAGCGACCACGACGACGACAACAACAACCACAACAACCATCACCACCACCAACACCACCACCGCCACCACCACCGCCACCACCACCGCCAACACCACCGCCAACACCAAAACCACCACCACCACCACCACCACCACCACCACGACCACCACCACCACGAACACGACCACGACCCCGACAACAGCTACGACAGCCGCAACCTCAACAAACACGACAACCACAACAACAACAACAACAAAAACCACGACTACGACGACGACATCAACGGCGGTAGAGAAGTCGATGGCGGTTGCAACAACGACGGCATCGGCAAGGACAATGACAACGACAATAACAATGAAAACCATCATCATCATCATCATCACCACCACCACCACCGCGAGAAGAATAACAAGAACAAGGACGCCAGAACCAGCCAAAAGATCAGAAGACGTCAATCCCAATAGTATGAGTACTACGAGGAGTCGCAACCCTGCATAACGACAATGGTAATTGTCGTAAAGATCGGGATACTGCCACAAACTGGCAGATTCTGAAAAGGCCTTAGACAATTAGCGTGCAGTTCACTGGGTAGATGCTTGACTCTCGCTTGACATTCCACAGAACCCACAAACCGGAACGCTTCGGCTGCCAGTCAGGAAAACACTCGCAACGTATTGTTCCTTGCAGAATCGCAGCCCCTCCCATCCCCGATTGGACTGGGGCACAGGCCTTGCCATTCAGGGGATGCGGCTGCGCCTGTGCAATGAAAAAACCTTCGCCGAAATAGCGTTGAAATGAGCTAACATCCGACCAGCAAGAGAGAATATAATTGTGAGCACGGCCTTGGCGCACAGAACAGTCCCGGCGTATCTAGTTCAGTACGTAAATTCCGAGTACCAGCCGTTATCAGCCCATGCAAGCCTGCATTGCCACTTCGTCCTGCGCCAGGACAAACGGCTCGGCCTCTACTTCCTAAGCTGATGCAGAACTTCGGCTCAGGAGGAACTGACGCAGTTCAGAGACTGGAGTTTAGGGACTATGGGACCATGGTCGCAAGAAGAATCCTGTCAGGAATGTCTCACGTCTGGGCAATAGCAGCGAGGACAACTCGTCAACGGCCCCAAGATCTGAAACTGGGTGCTGGACGCAACCGGTGGCAGGAATGACGTTCTCCTCCTGAAAATCATATTGCAGGGCACATGCAAAACCCTGAGGCATATTTATGCAGACGTAGACCTGGACGCAGATGTACGTGCATCCATGCCTGACTGCCTACCGTCCTGCCTGCCTGCCTACCTACCCCCGCAGCTGTAAAATGCAAGTTTTTATGTATCGATACATAAAAACATGCATGCACTTGCATGCATACGAAACTCGCACAGGCAAGAACAGATGAGCCATAATGAGCCGATGATTCATACGTTGGTACATCATGCATTCTCGCAAACAAACAGGAATCGAATCATTGATAGAAAGCTGGAGCAAAATCTAACGGTCCGGACTCGGACACAGAGAATAAGAGAACCGACAGACGATCGAGTAAGGGAGATCTTGAACCACGCGTGAAAGGCTTTCTTTGCAAGACTTCCCTTTCCTTGATTTCAACCGCCGTGAACTTCTGTCACAACAGAGACACCATCGAACCCCGGTCGTGTGACAGAACAAGCCCATCACTGTCGGTGCCATTTCGAAAACTCAAGTGTTCCGCAAACCAAGGTGAGCTTCAAAAACGTGCTGGAAGTCCTCCGAGGCAACTACTGCCGAAGCATTAGCAAGCCTGGTTACGGATCTAAGCTTTCGACATTCGCTGTTAGGGCCTTGCATCTCGACTGGCCGGACAGGATATGATTTCCAGTGGATGTGATCGCTGCCTGGTGGCTGACGCTTGCTGACAGACCCGAACGCTTGCAAATCTCAGTGCTTTGATTTGACATCCTGAGCAAACACGAGGCGCACTTCTTGATCAGTTCGCCGTGGACGATTGCTCTACAAATGGTGTTTTTGCGGTTGTGCGTGTGCGCGCACGTGAAAAACCGATTTGAGCGCAGTGCAGTCACGTGTGGTCATCATGAGGCAAGAAAGTGCCAGATCACGCGACACCAAATCATCAGGATTATGTCCAATGAAGCTACTCTGGCGAGTGAGCTTGAGACATCAACAGGAGCATGACTGACCCATATTGACCCTATATGTCGGCTTGAAGGGCAAGGACAGACTGTGGCATGCCCGAAATCCAAGTCAGCGCATTCTCTCCTCGAGCCCAGGTGGCGGTCGCTGGGTGTTGTTTGCCTTACCGGAAGACTTGGCTGCCATGTTTGTCAGGAGTTGCGCAAGTGCAGAACTATCGTCATTCTCCTTGTACGGCCCCTTTAACAACTTCGGGCATTAGGGTGCTCTACCCTGAGGCTGCAGGCTGCAAGCACATGCATGTACGCATGCACGGCGCAAGCACATACACACACACACACACACACACACCATCGCACACCATCACACACCCACACGCTCACACGCTCACACGCACACACGCACGCGCACACGCACACGCACACGCACACGCACACGCATACGCACACGCACACGCACACACACACACACACACACGCACACGCACGACGCACACGCACACGCACGACGCACACGCACACGCACACGCGCACCCGCACGCGCACCCGCACCCGCACCCGCACCCGCACCCGCACCCGCACCCGCACGCGCACAAGCACGCGCACGCACACGCACAGACACACGCAGACACACACGGAGACACACACTTGCAAACTCCATGGTGGGAGTAGCTAGAGCGATCATGTTCGTATCTTTACAACTTCACCTCAGTGGTGCACTGCACAATCAATGTACAGCAAGGATTCTATCGGGGTTCTTGGCTTAGCCCCTTGCCATAATCACTTGCAGGTACGTGATCCCAGCGTCCCAGGATCATATCACACTCAGCAGACAGGCGTCTTCGTTGGCCTGAGTCCTTTCTGTGAGCCTGAGGCCCCCTGCGGATTTGGTTCATTTGCTATCAGGGCTGTACACACACACACACACTGACACTGACTGGACATGTGCATGGGAACAAACGAAATCACGGCGAGCTGTGATTTCCCTAAGTAGCCCCAGCACACTACGTTATGTGCCTTTGTGACACAGCCTTCCCGACGTGAAAACTCGAAGCTGGGAAGACAGCTACAGGGACACTTTCGGACGGAAAGAGATCGGCATCTCGTGGCCATCGCTGGTTTCGTGGGTTAATCAACGACACTCAGAAGCCGGCAAAAGCCGACATTTCTGCGGCCTCCAACAAGGACAGAACTCCGCAGGAGCGAAGACCCGGATTACATGAAGTAGTGCAAAGGCAACAGGTCGCTTCGGTAATGATTAAATTACTCAGCCCGAAGATAGCAAGTAGTGGTGGTGGTGGTGGTGGTGGTGGTGGTGGTGGTAGTGGTCGCGGTACTGTAGTGGTAGTGGTAGCGGCAGTGGCAGTGGTACGGCTATCGCTATCGCTAGCGCTTGCAGTCCCAGTTCTAATGCTAGTGCGAGTGCTCGGGGTCAGGGTCGTCGTCGTCGGGGTAGGGGTGGGCAGGGATCGGGGGCGGGGTCGGGTACGGGCAGGGGTGGTGGCAGTGGCACTGGAGGCAGTAGTTGCAGAGTTACAGTAGTTGAAGTAGTCGTAGTCGCCGTCGCCGTCGTCGAGGTCGTCGTCGTCGTAGTAGTAGTAATAGTAGTAGCAGCAGCAGCCGTAGTGGTCGTAGTTATCGCAGTAGTCGCAGTAGTAGTACTAGTAGGAGTCGTCGTAGTAGTAGTGGTTAGTGAGTAGTAGGTGGTAGTCAGTAGCCCGCACTAAGCAGTTAGGGGTACTGAGTAGCTAGTGGTAGTTGGTAGTTTGTAGACCGTAGCTTGTAGTTTTAGTTAGCCGTTTGTGGTCAGTAGCTTGTAGATAGTACTGGTAGTCAGTACCTAGCAGATTGTTGGCAGTCAGAAATAGTCGGTAGGACTCAGCCAGTAGTAGATGGTAACAACAAGTAGTTAGTAGTCTAGTGGTCGTCGTCATCGTGGCGTAGTAGTAGTAGTAGTCGTCGTCGTCGTGGTGGTGGTGGTAGTAGTAGTAGTAGTGGTAGTAGTGGTAGTAGTGGTAGTAGTGGTAGTAGTGGTAGTAGTGGTAGTAGTAGTAGTAGTAGTAGTAGTAGTAGTAGTAGTAGTAGTAGGTAGTAGGTAGTAGGTAGTAGGTAGTAGGTAGTAGGTAGTAGGTAGTAGGTAGTAGGTAGTAGGTAATAGGTAGTAGGTAGTAGGTAGTAGGTAGTAGGTAGTAGGTAGTAGGTAGTAGGTAGTAGGTAGTAGGTAGTAGGTAGTAGGTAGTAGGTAGTAGGTAGTAGGTAGTAGGTAGTAGGTAGTAGGTAGGTAGTGGTAGTAGTAGTAGTAGTAGTAGGTAGTAGGTAGTAGGTAGTAGGTAGTAGGTAGTAGGTAGTAGGTAGTAGGTAGTAGGTAGTAGGTAGTAGGTAGTAGGTAGTAGGTAGTAGGTAGTAGGTAGCAGGTAGCAGGTAGCAGGTAGCAGGTAGCAGGTAGCAGGTAGCAGGTAGTAGGTAGTAGGTAGTAGGTAGTAGGTAGTAGGTAGTAGGTAGTAGGTAGTAGGTAGTAGGTAGTACGTAGTAGTAGGTAGTAAGTAGTAAGTAGTAAGTAGTAAGTAGTAAGTAGTAAGTAGTAAGTAGGAAGTAGTAAGTAGTAAGTAGTAAGTAGTAAGTAGTAGGTAGTCAGTAGTAAGTAGTAAACAGTAAGTAGTAAGTAGTAAGTAGTAAGTAGGTAGTAGTAGTAGTAGTAGTAGTAGTAGTAGTAGTAGTAGCAGCAGGTGGTGGTGGTGGTGGTGGTGGTGGTGGTGGTGGTGGTGGTGGTGGTGGTGGTGGTGGTGGTGGTGGTGGTGCCCGTGGTGGTGCCGGCGCATGATGTTGTTAGCTTCAACTATGCTGGAACTATCAACACCGGATCCTCTCTGTCGAAGCGTAAGCGTACGCTGACAACCAACTAGGTATCATGACGGTGGTGCGAGTGCTGCTCAGGGCACCTCGACTATCCACAGTCGTACTACTTGTACAGCATGAACAAGTTCTGTGGTAAAAACCGATTTTCATGGTTCTGTCAGTTCTACCTTTCCTACTTCAAGACATCGTGCACCTTGACGAAAGTAACGGCAAGTGCAGTTCCGGCGGAATAAGAGCCTACTTTGGCGCCTAAAGACTAGCGGCTTCAAGTACGAGGATGTTGCAGCGGCAGGATCTGGAGTTTGCTGCGTCTGTGAGGTTTGAGCTTTCTTGGATTTCGGGTAAGCTACCGGCTTCTTCAGGCGGGTGTGCTAAGTCTTGTCTCGCTTCGATATACTCTAGTTGTGTTTGGTCATCCAAAACATCTCAAGAGGCCGCCTCGTACGTCGCTGCAGGGTCGTAGAAGGCGCTCTGATCAAAGGCGGCAGCCTCGCAGCCAGACAGAAATTCTGCAGAGTACCGGGTAACTCCAGCAACATTGGCCGCTGTCATCTACGCTGTAAATCGACATACCTTTTGGTACTGCTTACTACTTGCGCATCGCCTCGGCTGGCTACGTTCGCCAAACGTCCTATTGTTCCTCGGCTTTCTACACATGGTCTTCCGATGTGCTGACCTGAGAGGTCTGAGCGCAGAAACCCGGCAATTGAAGAGTATAAAACAAGTACTGCAAGGACAGTCTACACATGTCGCTCTCCTTTCGTCGCCCCTCAGAAGCATTCGAAATAAACCAGGTATCAAACAAGCTACTGTAATTTACATATGTATAGTACACACATGTCTGTGTGTGTTTGTATAAAGACATAAATATGTAATATCTTTATATATATATATACACGTACATACATGTACGCAGATATACATAGATATATATATATATAGACACACACATGCATGCTGGATTGGGTGCCAGAGAGGCTCGACTCCAATTATCTTGTAGAACATAACATCTTCTATGATGTACTACAGATTACTACAGGTCATAGATAAGACCCGATAATTAATATGTTTTTGCTATCCTCGCACATTCAACAATTTAAATCGAGTCCTCCTATTCAGCATAGGCAAGGCTGTGAATGCCTTAGAGTGTATACTGAATAAGTACGGTCGCACAGATAAACGCGTTCCCAGATGGCAGTATACCTGCAGGAAGTGCAGACAGGTCGAGTCTAGCCACATGAACTAGATTCTTTGATTTCGACCATCTGCGTCGAACGAAGTACATATTCGCAGCGAAAGTTCAAAGGAAGTCGTCCGACAAAATTCCGAAAAGGCTGTACTGCGTGATTTGACAACCTGAAATCGACATATTTCGCTGCATAATGTACATTTGATTGCCGGCCTCTCTTAGCCGGGTCAGACTTCACAAGACCAAAACTGGGCCAGTCAAATCGTGGTCGTGGCGGTCATAACCGGGCTAGTTAGTTTAGTTGCTTGTTACATTCATGCATGCATTGTCTTGTGTAACAACTATTCCAGATGTATCTGTACCTCTCACCATTCTCACAGGCTGGTTTGGCCAAAGCCTTTACATACAGTGCATTTCAGGCCTTCGATGATACACATAAACATATTATTTGCAATGGCCCAGAACAAACATCTTGTACCGAATAAGTCAAACCTACCGTTACTTGCCCAAACGCACATCCAATTTGAGTAGAGGGCCACGAAAGCTAGGACAAGAAAGCGGCACAGTCGATAGAGCTCGGTCGTTATTGCGCGCGTTCTCGGCAGCGTGGACGCAAGCACATATGAAGTGCCCGGAAGCTTCAACCCTGCAAGATAGTAACGTTCATCTACCGTACACTGGCGCATATACAGATACACTCGTGTCTGTCCCTGCAAAAGCAATAACTTGACCATCTGCGAGCAGGATCGAACTGTCCTGGTGGCAGCTTCGCTCCTTACTGATGCATCAGACTTGAAAACTGCTATGTAGACGCACTCGGCCGCATAACCACAAAATGCAAGTTGCCATATTGCTTCAACGATGGACCTTCACGTGTGGGGCAGAGCGGGCACCCGGGGGCGGGGGAACATGGCGGTCCCGCTGCCTTGTACAAAACAGCTGCCATCTTGTGGTGGTAGCGGCGGAGGGGGGGGTCTCCCGGCCCCCTTCAACTATTGTGAAAAGACACGATAAGGTCCTGGACTATTTAGGGAAGGGGTCAACGACGTTTCGTGACTATCTATCTAGCCATGCTGATTCACAGGGGGAAGCACGATCTTGCCACGGCTTAGCTTTGTGTGTCCCGGAAATACGAAGTGGCCTTGTTTGGGAATATTAAACAGATGTTCGAGGTTATGGAAAGACTATGGCAATGGGATGCAATTGGCTGGACCTCATTCGGATTGCCAGCGCGTGTAGTAGAAATCAAATCAGAAAATCCTGATAACCAACCAGCCAAATGAATATAACTAAAAAAGCCAGAATTTTGTTTTAAAAAACAAGAAACCTGACAAAAAAGTTCGCTAAAGAAACTGCAAAGTTTCCCGAAAATCTGTATTCCAATGCTCTGGACCAAGACTTTCTGAAAATTTGTTGGTGCTGTTAGTTTGGGTGTAATCATGTTTCTTGGTGCTGGTGTGCTTCCTTTTTGGCTTCCGCGCTTGTACGTTTAGTGTTTGCTTTTTGGGAATGATAGAACTGACATTGCTTGTTTAATTCGTGTTAGGTTCAGATTCATAAGCAGATGACAACACTCATGTCAGGGCTGAACGTTCCTCACAAAACGGGGTTACAAGTTCAGGTGCCGTGCTGATGCTCGAACAGAGCAGCAGCTTGACAAAACAAACGGATTAAAGATCAAGGGTGAAGCCATGAAGATGAGGTAGCGGAGATTCTTCGGACACGAGTTGTTACGTGTTCATGATGGGGCCTTCTTCGGCGTGCTTGGTGCAGGTATCCAGCTTCCAGCCTTCTGTATCGGCATGAAACAGCTTCTGCAGATGCAAGTAAGTCTTCTATCTTTCTGTATGGATGTGCATCTAATTGACCTTGTGGGCCACGTGTGGTCTGACGGAGATGCTACTGGTTGAAACACACTCTTTACATGCACTCTTTCCCCACTCCATCATTCATGAACTGCTGCAGGGTGGGGGTGGTCCTGGGGCTCGTACTTTGTTCTCGTTTGTTAACCCTTGAACTGAACCATCTCCGAAGTCAATTCTTTAGCTTGTTCTTTTCGTCTTACTGCCATTGCCCTTCTCATGGTGATGCCGTTCCTGTTCTGACCAAAGCTCGGACAACTACATTTCAACTGGTATTGCCAACATTGTGGGAACTATAAATCCTAGTCTTTCTCTTCAGTATTACCAGTATATTGATACTGTTACCATTGTCGAGATTATGTGTCAATCAAAATTCTACCATCGCTATGTATGGTTGATACTCCTGCTTCTATTACTTAGTGTTACAATTGCTAATATTGCGATTTTGGTGCTATTGTCAGCATCCCTGCCGATAATTCATTGCACGTGGATTCCAATCCCTTTAGAATTACTTCCAACGCTCTGCAAGGCCTGACCTGATCGTACATCGCTGCCGATTCGTCGCCGTATCCGTTCTGGTCGTAGTACGCCTCCGAACCGGCCAGAATTCAGATCAACACTTGCGGCATCGCTGCTACTCATCATCAGTCGTAGTCGCCTTCCGAATTCTTGCAGAACGATGGGCACATTGCATTCGACAACACCCCAGTGATGCACAGCACTGAGTAGGAAAAGGGGGGATTCGTTTGTAGTCGTAACTTGTCTCGACGATGTCGCAAAGCATGCGGAAACCACACTGCGAAAGGTCTCCACAAAGTCATAAACATGAAACATTTAGTACCGACGAAATAGCCGGAACCTGCGCAGTGAAAAGCTAAGTGCATGAGTTAGTTTGCGGCATTCTTACACTTACGTGCATGAGTTTGCAACATTCCTAAAATTCAAACCTGCAATAGCTAGTCCCTCCCACACGGCCAATGCTTCTTTAGGCGGACTGGCGGATTGAACAACCCTAACCGATAACTCTTATTCATGTTGCAACTGAATGATGAGCGAAAGACTGGCGCTCTGCAACTTAACATCCACGTGACAACCCTTGCCGCAGAAATCTGAATCAACTACAATATTCAGAACACGCCGACAAAGGGAAAGTATACGAAGGAGATGGTGACAGGTGGCGTTGCAAGCCTCATTCACAAGTTGGATGATCTATTTCCGTCGTGTATTTCCGAGTTATGCAATGCGCATGTTTAGGCAACGAACCACGTTACTGCAACCACGTACACTGTTTGAACATTCTCACCTGTTCTCGGCAGTACGGGCGGGGAGCAAGTATTGGGACTTCTTTGTATCAGCATTGGCCTCGCTAGAGTTCCGGGCAGAGTGTTGAAACCTAAGAAAGAAACCAAAACGAAAACCGCACTTAGTGTTTCTTGTCCGGTGTGTGTGATAAGGACCAACGGTATGCACTTCTTGTGCTTGTGTCTGTGTTGCTGTTTTCGGGGTCTTAAAGGTTTGTTGTGCGCTTGACTGCTCACCGGTATTCGCTGCCCAAGGTACTGGTGCGACCTGCTGCTTTTACTGTGCGTAGACTTGATCTTCCATACGATGCTTTGATTGCAATTCGTCCTCAGTCCTCGTGTTGTGGGTGTTTTTGTCTTCGTGCTTCCACAAACGAACGTGCCAAACTGATATCCCTTCGCCTACCTTGGGTACTCATGTGTTACGCATCCCGACAGAAACTTAGAAACTCTGTAGAGGAAAAGCGGCAGTACTGCATCTGTCTGAAAAATCAGCATGTTAGCACGCCGATATTTCTACGGCTTGGCTTGGAAACTGAACTTTTGGAGTACAAACTTAGTGCGCGGAAAGCTCATCTAGCGGCCTGGCTTGCAAGCTGCTCTTTTGGAGTACAAACTTAGTACGCGGAAAGCTCTTCTAGCGGCCTGGCTTGCAAACTGCTCTTGTGGAGTACAAACTTGTTACGGGGAATGCTCTTATAGCGGCCTGGCTTGGAAACTGCTCTTTTGGAGTACAAACTTAGTGCGCGGAAAGCTCTTCTAGCGGATCCATTTGATTCGGTTTCTTCGGAGAAGTGAACCTGCAGGCCTGTGACATGTCCGCTGCTGCGTAATGCTCCTGCAACGTCAGCGACATCACAGCTGCGGTCAAGCTGACAATCCTTCAGTGGTCACACTCAGAAAGGTCATATCCTGTCACCTGCACCTGCAGAAGATGTGGGACAGCCTTAGCCTTAGCCTTTGCCTTTGCATGTGCATTGTCTTGTGTCGCACCGGATGAGCAGCCGAAGCAATGAAGAAACATCTGTCCCTCAATGAAACAGACACCGTACCACACTTACGGCAAACTTCTGGTTCAACACGGGCAGGGGTTGGACGTAGTCATAGCCCACCACCGCGGCCGCTGGATCCTCGAATTTTAAGCACGTCGGCAGCCCTACCTAACTATGCGTCCCACTATTGAGTTGGATTTTGCAGTCTAGGACTAGGACATGATCAGAAACATAGTGTCTTGGATTGAAGGTTTGCAGAGTCAGCCTGACAATGTGAACTCAAACTAGCAGAAATCGGAAATCGCAGCTTCATCCGCCACCAACAAATCCTGACAGAGCCTTGCCAGCACTAGTCGAAACCGCTAGTCATCCGACAATCCGCCAAACATACCCAAACCATTTATGCGGCCTGTCCTGAGGCCAGCCGGCACCCTCACTGTAGTCCTCGAGGGAAGAGGATGAAGAGGCAAAGAAAGAGAGAGAGAGAGAGAGAGAGAGAGAAAGAGAGTGGGTGAAGGACAGGAGAGAGAGTCAGAAGAAAGAGACGGAGGCGAGTGGTCCCTCCCTGCCTTCCTCCTTGCCTGCTCATCCCACTCCCTCCTTCCCTCCCCGACAAACTTGAACATTGACATGCATGCCTGCAAACGACAGGCCCCGCCAATCACCAGCAATTGGGTGGTGCTAGCAGGGGATGCAGCGGTAGCATATTTGCAGACATTGTCCATGGCAACACATCACAGTGGAAACTCGGCGAGCGCACCATCTCCGCCGGAATGTCTCCCTGGAAACAGCCCTGGGGCAGGCTGTCCACATGGCGTTACACGGAGCTTGAATTCAATACCGTGCTGGCTCCCCAAAGCATGCACACTGACATGTTGTTGCTTGGTAACTCGAAGCTGATGACTCGCTCTGCCAAACGCTCCCTCCGCTTCAGTACACCGCTGGGGCCGAAGCATCCTGGGCAGCGTACCAGTCGGCCTCCGCAACCAAAATTTGAGGCTCAGGTTTAGACACCTTAGGATCATTCCTGAAATCAGCTGGATTCGGGAGGCCTCCTGAAGCATCTGCAGCCCTAATGGCCCTGAGGCCAAAGCCCCGGCCCAAACCCTTTGGGCCCTCCCTTGGCCTGGTTCTGGTATTCCAGTGGGGTGAACTCCAGGGCACTGGAGTTCAAGGTGCTGGGCTCCTGACAGGGCATGGTCCGCGAGAAGCAATCGTCTCGGGTCGGCATCATACGAGTAGAAGTCTGCAAGCTACTTTCGGCGGCTGTGCATTTATTTCACTTGAACGACAGATGAATCTGCAGACGACACGACCATTGAGATGTTCTACCAGTGTCTCTTTAACCTATCGTCGGTACATAGAGAAGTTGCACAGATGAACGAGTGAAGCTTTATCATCATGAAGATTCAGCTAAGTTTTAGGAGCCGTCGTGCCATCCGCACGTGCCTTCGGATCGCTGACACCGGCTTGCGCTTGGTAAGCCTGGTACACATGACAACGGCAGCGCAAGTTTCGCATGAGAAAATGTGCGGCGTAAAGAGTTTGGGGAGGTGCCCTCCAGACAGAGTCTACCAGTCTTGCAGGAGCGAGCATCTTCATTCTAGGTTCTGTGCTCCGATGTACACCCATCCCAGCCTCGGTGGAGGTTTGGCCCGATACCTCCTTCAAGCGCAATGAGTCAACCCTAAATAATCCTCAGCTGTTTGTCGAAGGCACGTAGCTCATAACAGCATGACATAACAGGGAACGGGCCACTGTTCCCCGCTGCACATCTTAACTTCGATGAAGCTGAACAGCCCTGCACCCCGACCTGCACAAAGTCGGCTGCACTCGAACCATGGCCAGCGTCGTAGTACTCCTGCCAGACAAACTCTTGCTGACACCTCAACGGCGATATACAGTGGCCTTTTTAATGGCAAGAGTGAGAGGATGAATCAAGCTCAACTTTTCACGACAAATACTGGTAGCATTGTTGACTTCATATTTATGTACTCACTGTAGCTGCAAAATCCGAGTCGCAGAACGTAGTTAGAATCCAGCCGCTGTAGTTGAAGTGGCCGAACGGATATCAAAATCATGCATGTGGTGTTGAAACTACTCGACTCAGCCCAGAGCACTAGTGAAAAGCAGTCTTCTTGGGGTACGGTTTAATGCGGTTTGGGGTTTAGGGGGCTTCACCAGCAGCGGCTCGGACTTTGGATCTTGCGCATCTAGGCGTCATATTAGGCTATCGCCCCGCTGCTACGGCTACTGCTCCGGCTGTGCCACTACTGCTTCCACTGCTACAAGTACTGCCGCTGTCACTGTCACTGTGCCAATACCTCTAGTACTACGATGAGGATATGGCCCAACAAACACCGAAATACGGGGAGGCAGGCCCTGTTCCGGATGCATCAGCAGCTGCCGCTTGTTCGAAACACCAAATGCTAGTACACGCGGTCTTGGCTGACATTAGCTTTGACTACTCACTTTTCTGATGTCTCTGAGCTGAATCGCACCTGTATGAACCCATCCCCTGTATTCCCACGAAAGCATGCATGCATTACGGCAGCGTGGGGCATGTGAACATCTCCGAACCTCAGTGGAGGTCTGGGCGATTGCCTCGCTGCTTGGGAGCAATGCGAAGGCTCAGGCGCACCAGCTTGTCTGATAGTAGTCTGATTTGGGTGCCAGGGTTGTAAGTCAGTAGGGCTCAAGGCTAGCTTTGGCGATTGGCTCTCGGGTGATTCGGGCCAAAAGGGTAGATAGGGTCTGCAGCTCCAGGGCTCTGAGGCTTGGGGTGTTGCAGGTCATCTTACGCAGTGGTCAGAGTTTAGCTTTGAAGCCCTAAACGCCTAAACCCCGCAAACCCTCAATTACAGATGTTGGCTGGGCATGACGGTCATTGAGAACGCAGAGAGCCCAATGCCCCGAAAAACCTTTCACAGACTAAGGTATATTCCGATGTTATCGGGCACTAAAGCCTGAAGAAAACTCTAAAACACCCTTACAGGAGCCCTTGAAGGAATCCTAATTTCGGGGTACCTTCCTCAGTTAAGAGGATCTCTGGGAATCAAAAGGTACTTGAGGAGTTCGGCTGAAGGCGCCCATGGCTTGGTTCAGGGGCGCTTAGGTCCCAGAGTTTAGGGCTGTAGGATTTGGGGTGTAGGGCTCAAGATCTAGGGTTTGGGGTGGGATATAAAGCGGGCTCCGGCTGCATTAACATGGCGGTGTTCAACATAGGTTGAATGGTCTCATGGAGGGGTGCTTCTAGTGTTACCTGTGGCTCCAACTACCAACGCATTCTAATGGTTCTCATTCTAATGTTCTTGTACTGTTTGGGGCTGCTTCGCAGCCTCTGGGGGTTTAGGGCTTGGGTTTTCGGCATTTCGGGCACAGAAGATAAGGAGTCCGGTTAAGGTTGACGTGCAGGATGGAGGGTTTAGTGTTGATGGTTGAGGGTTGAAGTTTGGGAAGTAGGGTTTTGGGTTCAGGGGTCTCAGAGGGCTTGAATATTTAGCGTTTAGCTATTAGGTTTTCCGGGGCATAGTTGGGCTTAGCAGGTTTGCAGTCTGCGACATTGGCTGGTTGAAAAAAGGGGTCGGAACAATTACTAATCGTATCCCCTTGCAGTCCCGATCATGCTTGAGTGTACTAACCCACCAGGCCAGTTCTCGAGTAATACCTGGACCCCCCCAAAAACCTACATTTTTAGGGTTCCGTGTTAACAAATCCACAAAAAGACTCATGAGAGCGCCTGTTGATCCGAGGTGTTCCATGCTCCCGCCTGGAAGGGTGGCCAGACACTCGCCGACAGACAGTGTGACGTCAAGTCGCACTCCAGATACGCCTGCGCCTGCCTTCTTTTCACTGTGAATCCAGCAGCCACCTAAGGATGCAGGATTACTGCGGCATCTACATGCAAAACATGCTGCAGACTGAGTCAATCGGCGTCTGAGCTCTGCACATCCTCATGGTTGAAAGGGACGTGCCATCCGGTCTCCAGGCTTGCAGACCATGCAAAGACCTTGCACTGTGGTTCTGCATGGTTCTGCAGGGACCCGCTAAGCGAAAGACGAAAGCTGAACAAGCTGCTTGGGACGTGGCCCCGTCACCAGCAATCTCTGAGCCGATGTACCAGCCTTTGCATCTCTACATTAGGCTTTTCCCTTGTGCGTGATCATGTTTCGAAAGAACATAACATGAACATCCTCTGGAATTGCCATTAGCATGCCATTAGCCTTAGCTTTGAAATGCCGCAGAACTTAAGAGCTGGCTGGGCGCTGCACCCACTGACTGGGGATCCTCTCCGTCGTCGAAATAGTACAGAAACATTTCATGGCCGTTCGATGACCTGTCGCAAAATCACGTAACAGAGTTGATAAGGCCCGAGCTTGTGGGCAACACCAGCCAGGCCGACGCTGTCTTCTTGTATGCCGTCTGGCCGTTGTACACAGAGTGCCACGTGTACTCCCCAACCATGCTCCTTCGCAAGCGTCGTGCAAGCTCAGTGCTTTCGGGAGGTGAAGCTCTGTCGTTGCGGTCCTCGCAAGCTGCAGTATGTCGTCCTCGAGAAATACGTGCTGAGCACTGCGAACTGCAAACACACAAGCTGTCGTTCTCATTCGACATGTCTTTGGCCTCTTGGATTTCGCCTGCTCCTTCGTCGAACTCTACATCGAGGACCTGCATAGAGCAGGCCGATTCAACAGGGAAGCGAGTGAGAGAGCGCTGCATCGCATCGCCTCCCCCGCAGCATCTACTGCGTCTCCTGAGCTGGAATTCCATTTGGCGCCAGCCTGGCCACTGTGCAGGATTTGCTACCAGCCGCGACCACGACCACGTGCTTTAGAAGTTTTGCGAGGCGTAATTTTTTTCAAGAGTAAAAGTGCATGGTGACAGCAGAGATGCCCGGGGCCCCACTGAGCACTGTGAACAGATGATCGGGAATCGGTAGTTGCCAAGCTTCTGCTTTTGCTGCTTTTGGATGCTCACGGCTTAGCTGGCTTAGCTTGCGCCGCAGCAGTGCGAGCAGGCCTGTGGCAGCACCATCGTGACGTTGCAACAGTCTCCCATACTTGAAACATATCTCGCTCTGAAGGGAATGGCGGTGGGGCTTGCTGTCGTGCGATGTCTGGAGCCTGGAGCATCAAGATCATCCGAAAATGATGGAAGGTGGTGCTGTCATGGTTCAAAAATTTCAGTCGCATTGTCACAGGATAATGGTATGACTTGGCGACTTCCTGCGTTTCAAGCAATCGCGCCTCCTCCCACCACTCATCTTTCGACTCAGCCTGGAGCACTCGACAGAGACGACGTGTTCCCTCTTTTTCAGCTGAAGCGAACAGAACCGAAACCGAAACCTCCCTCAACCGGTGAATCGGAAACGGCTCACGACCTATATGATATGTGAGAAATTGAAAAAATAATGAAGGCTTTCTGTTATCCGGCACCTGGCCTGGAAGATCCTGTCAGGCGAATCGTGCGTTGTTCTCTTCATGCAGACACTGAGCACTGAGAGCGAGGCCGCTTTCCGGTGGGCGTCGATGGCCTCCTCAGAGCAAACTCGGCAGAGTTTGAAACGCTGTGATGAGCAACGGATTGTGTCGAGGCCTGCAGGGTCTCGTCAACGTTCTGCTCCGTGGCTGCAAGTACTCCTAGGAGATACTCGTGGCCCCACTGCAGCTCCTGCATGGAGTCGGTCCAGAACTGCCTCTTTTGCCAAAAGCAGGGGTGGCAAGCTGCTAAGGAGCACTCAGCAAGAAAGCCACTCGCGCCGAACAATGTCGACCGATCGAAATGCCCCTAAATCCCACCCTCGGCCCAGAAATCTCCTGCCAGCTGGAACGATTCACAAAAGTGAAGGCGTAGCCGGTGTGGCCCGCTCGTCCGGTGCGGCCCACCTGCCGTTGTCTCGACGTGAACCGTCAATCAAACCAACGGCTTGAAGTACCCCGACAGTATGCCTTGCAAACTTCAGCTGGAAGTGGAGTCAGATGCATATAATAATACTACGGTTACTACGGTATGTTGTCCGACCCTGTGGATGTAGTCTTCTGCCATCTTTGGCATGTCGTAGTTCACCACATACTTGACCTGGCAGCACATGAGTACTGACAAGCTGATGGCTGTGACTCATGATGTCAGGCTGCCGGGTTGTCGTGTGTCAGCGGCCTGAGGGATGTCGTGGCCCCGTGCCAGAACTCCGGTTGCCACGACGCATGGCCTAGCATTGACGGACAAGACTGAGGCCGACCGCTCTGACTTCAAGGATAAACTCAGTGAGATTCAGCATCCAATGCTTGGATCCGTCCCGCGATGGCTATCCGGTTTCAACCGCAGCGGGCTAGCATCGGCAGGGCAAACACGGCATCCGTCTACGACCGTGGCTAAGGGGGGCTTCGTAGGAACTGGAGCCTGCCAAACAGAAGCAAACACGTTATCCAAAAATGACATAATTTCTTGCCACCTTAGCTCCTGACAGTGATCCGTCGCGGAACTGCTGCATATTCTGGGCAGCGGGCAGCAGTGCGCTGTTTACCAGACGCTGTGCACGGAATAACTCGAAGCCGCCCCATCGTTTATCAATTCTCTGCGCACATGCAACCAACAAACGTTCCAGCTGCTTCGCCAGACAGAAACCATCACGACTAACTTCTGAGACCTCTGCCCAATCACGGTTGGTCTGCTGCATTTCGCCATGTAGCTCTTCTACCTTTGGTTCGTCGATGCTCTTCCATGCAAGGTCGTGGTTCAAGTGGACCCTGTACATTCTGCCGGGTGGCGAGGCAGTCGCTGTCGCCTCTCCAAACCATGTGTTCGTTTGAAAGCATGTCTTTCAGCTTGATGACAGCATTGCGGCTCCTGTCAATCCAAGCACTGTGTGTGCGTGGACCCAAAGTGAGATTGCAGCATGCACTGTAACAAGGGATGCTTCGCGGTTGTGCTATGCCACACAAGTGCTACTTTCGCCGGCAGCACCCTCACCTGCAGAAGATGATGCACTTGTCTGCGGAGCCTTCCTGGAAAATGCCCATCCTGAAGCTGCCGGATGTTGGCTTTGCAGCATCTGCACTTGAATTCAAGAGCCGGCAAGAGCTCCTGCATGCTGGCAGGGGCATCTCCTTACATGACCCTGCTACCCTCTTCAGAGGCCTCCAGCAACAGGGGGGGGATTGAACAAGGCTATAGTCGCGGACTTGCCAGGGCCCGCACTCGTCCAGCTTCTCTTTCAGCCTTTCGAACTTGACCTCAGCAGGGAAAGCGTGGAAAAAGTTCAAGAAGGCTGTTCTCAAGCTGTTGCCGGCATGCACCTTTCGGCAATGCTGTGGGCCCGGAGCTCCATTCTGGCCCGCTGGAGTCTGAGCCCACAGCCACGTCGTCGTCGACGATCTCAGCCCTCTGGACGATGCTTTTGCCTGAGGTCGTTGAAGGGATGAGCTCCCTGTAGACTGTAGATCCAAGTCAACGGGCCCTTCTGCATCTGGCGCAGACTTTGCAGCCAAGCTGCATGCTGCTAACCTCGTCCCGCCGATGCGAATGTGGACCTGCGAGGCCGGGAAGACTGGAAAGCAGCTTCGAAGGGATGTGAAAGCATCGACTCCAACTGCACCACTGCATGGCAACCATAGCTCAGCCAAGTTCACAAATCCTCGGCTAGACTTGAGATGACGCACAGGACTTGCACACCGAGTATGCTGCGGGTGGTTGGCCATCTGATGCAGTGCATATCCTGAGTCCATGCAATGACAATCGCTTCTCAACTCAGTCAGCGAGCTCGCACAAGACTTCTGAAGTCTCGCCGCATTGTGCCGTAGTTGCGGCGAGACTGCATATGTCAAAAATGGAGCTCATGCACAGCCCCTCTCTGGACCAAAAAACCAAACCCGACTCGAAGCTTCTGCGGGCGCGGTGCTCTCGGGCGAGGTCCTTCACGGCCTACGGAACTCCGAGAAAAAAGACCAGTCTTGTGCTGACCGCACGCTTTATCATGACACAGCGATCATGCTCGGAGGGCCTCGGGCCAAGTGGCACTGAACATAAGGACTTGCCGCTCCTTGCGCACCTGCATGGGGCAAGCTTCGCAGGTGAGGAGAAGACATCTACTGATGTGGAAATCTTCTTTACTTCTACCTCTGACCTCACATTCTCACTTCACAGCCTCCTGTTTCATGAGATGCGTGCTTGCAGGGTGTCTGCCAAGACTACAAGTCCCGTGACTCTGGCAATCTGCACTGACAGGTTGCATGTAGTGAACCATTTCCTGACTTCGTAGTGGCGGTGTCTAAGGCTCCCACTTGGGTCAGAATGGCCCTGGCAAAGAGGTTTGTCAAGATTTCCACACGTCCGTTGGTTTTCAGGTCCACGCACTGTGCAGAGCATGCAGCAGCGCAGCCATGCAACTCTTAAGACACCCAACACATCCCAACACCAATGAAGGCAATCGATGACCACTGCTTCTCAAGAAAGTATGCACCAGAGCAGAAATGCAGAGCTCGTGCCTGATTTCGCCGCCGAAGCCCTTGTGTTCAAGGAGTTCGTCCGCCTCATCCAAGACAACGAACCTTGGAACATCAAGTTTTGCAGCTTCATACCATGCCTGGCAAAGATAATTACCGCTTCAATACTCCAGATCTTTCTCAACCCCGTCTTCTGTGGAAACCGAGCACTTTCACCACTGTCTCGCCCATTCACAACTGATCTGCGTCGCCCGATCTGAGTCGCCCAAGTCTCCACGCGTGCATCGATTCAGCTTTGTCCATTCATCGCCCAGCGCCTGTCACAAAAAGGCACACCCGGGATTTTCTTCGTTTTTCACGGGCTTGCAGACTGTGCGCGCCCCTCTCCGGGCCTGCAGGAATCGACCGGGAGTGGCCACAATGATGTCGTTCCTGGCCTTGCTTGCGCGTCGATGGATCATGAAGCAAGCCCTCTGCTGTAGTAAACAGTCCCAAACAAGCTTAGCCTCCGAAAACATTCGTGCCAACAAGTGCTTACCCTAAACTCTGAACCCTAAACCAACACCAAAATTTTAATGGAGGAAGCCAGATCTGCGGGTGTTAATGAAGCACACTGGAAGTTTATGGGTCCGACTGGATTTCAAGGAACTCGCCTGAAGGAGCTCCTTGTGGTCGCTCGTCTTCATGCCACCAACAATGGTGGCGGACGCAAGCCGTTTCAGCCTCGTTTCTATTCACAACATCCACCACTCCAACGCACAGCTCAGAGCAGCTACGAGTGAGCAGTTACGAGTACTTTGGCTCCCCCAACGCTGGCTTCGAGGAGACGGCAGAAACTACCTCGACCTGAGCTTGGTTTGGATCCCATGTTTCATCTCTGGGGCACAGGCGACCCATACTTCTGGCAGACCTGATAGCGAGAGACAGAGCCGAGGATCCAAATTACAACAGCGTGCTGCAAATTGCTGTACGTGCTGTCCCTTTGCCTGCGGCTGCTGCAAACCTCAGGGCCTCATACTTTGTCACCTACGAACTCAGCAAACGATGCATCGTCCCATGCCTTTGGCCTTTGGCTAGCAACTTTATCGAAATGAGTTAACAGCAATACTCTGGATGCAATAGAAGGGTGCCCGGCTCTCTCGATCTGCTTGGCGAGCTCTCGCGTCGGGGCAAGGACCTGCAGATCGTTCCTACGAATAATAACACAACAATAATAAGAGTAACAACAGCTTTTATAACAATAATACTCATAATGGGTACAGTACTAATATAACAATGATAACAATGATAACAATGATAACAATAACAATAACAATAACAATAACAATATTAATAATAATAGTAATGAGCTCTACGTTTATAGCTCGCCCGGCTGGAAGAAAAAAGCTTAGTTAGCCAAACACAAGTCTAGATGAGCATATATGAGCATAATAGCAGAAGTACTGCGCATCGGGCTATGGTCTCCGGATTTTGGTCGTGGAGCCGGCGAGGATTACGAAAAAGAAGCAAAACGCCTAAACCCTGCAGCTGACCACGACGACTCGAGATTACCGTTTACCGAACTCCGATGCCTTCAGCAAAGGGACCTAATCACAGGTCTCCACACCCTTTTGCGAGTTGTGTTCACCTACTTCACAGATGTATGAAATCAATCAAAACTGCGGCTGAAACAAGAACAAAAGTGCCAAATGGGCAAAAAAAAACACTCTCCGCGAATTCAACAACTGCTGCGGCGGTCTCAAGCCGACCTGAGGGAGCTGGAAACCTGGTGGATTCATAGCCCTGAAGGATGTTGCAGCAGACACTACCAGGGCGGACCAGACCGACCGGGCCGTCGCCAGCTTCCAGCTCCTCCTGACGACATAGAATGGCAAAAGAAATGCAGCTGTAAGACATCTCAGTCAGCTAATGCAACCTACCACGACAGGCATTCTCGCAATGGAACGCTTCGTCTCTGGCAGTCAGTCGGAAGCTAAACCACGTCTGTTTTGTGTGCACTGTTCACACTTAGGCTGCGAGCCCCCAAGGTTGATGCTCTAGACCTGAACTCAAATCCTGCACGCTGGTTTTTCTTTGGCCTGGCGAGAGATGTGGATGATCATGGGCAGGACATAGGACACCGTCTTACCACTTCCTGCAGGTGGGCTCTCCACTGTCATGCCTCGACTCTATACACGCCTTCTATACAGACTGCGAGTGACTCTTGGCGAGGCGTCCGGTGAAGATGGAGATCAATTCCGAATGAAAGCCAGGATGCAGGCCTGTCTCTGCGATGCCAACCACATCTCGGCCTTGCAACGCCAAAGGCCTGAATTTGCAGAGCGGCCGCGAGGCTTCCAACTAGTGCCAATTCATCTGCGCCGGAGACCCCGCTGTGACCCGGCAGAGCTGAGGCAATGGCCAGATCTGCTTTTGGATGGGGGTAGGCGCCTGCTTGCGCCACGCTTGAAACCACGTTCTAACCGGCCCAAACCCCGAATCTCTGGCCTCAAACTCTTCGACCAAAGAGTCTTGCAACTCAGACGGCCAGTGCATCTGCACAGGGAATCCAGAGACTGAATGCATCAAGTGACGATGGTCCAGCCTCGTCGAAGCTGTTGAACAGGCCAGGGACTGGGCATTCGTCACCTGGCTCTCCGACTGGCTATGATATGCAGCATTTCGATTGTCCTTCACCGAAATCAATTCCATACTGTTACCTGTGACTTGCCTGCTCGGGTAATACGGATTCTGGCATTGCTTCTGCTAGGCAGCTACCAAACGATGAAGCAATCGATGACTCAAGACAGCTCTTGAACAGAGCCATATTCAGTTCTAAATGTTCTGAGAATTTGGCTGTCCCCTTCCACGATTTCGATGCCGCTCGTCCTCGGCGCATGCAACGACAAACTTTCGAGATGTAGAGGCCCATTCAACCACCTGCCAAGGACGACAGTTGCGGATGGCGGGATACTGCATACACTGCATCTCCGATCTGAGTCGTGCTCGTTCGCTGCTGATCGATCTCCTCCTTACTGCGAGACTTTGCCCTGTCGTCTCCGATCTCCTTCCGGGTTCAGGCACATCATACACTTGAGGCCGCGAATGGTGGCGGGCTTCGACGCACCTGGTAGAAGTCTTTCGTAATTTCGATCTGCCTTGGGAGCTGGGACAACCAAGAAGGCTTGTCGAAAAACCAGCCGGGCGCCACTGATCGTCTCTGGGCTTCCGGCGGCCTGGTGGTCCAGTCCACGTCCCCCTGCTCCAAGAGCTGCGTGGCCTCGAAGCCACAGCTTCAAACGCTGGCGGTGGATGTTGGTGCACCGTGCAAATTTCTGCAGACTGTCTTGCTCCACTTGCCGGATACCAGGTGCCACTCATCATCGAACAAGGGGGGGGGGGGCATGGGCATCGATTCCCCGCGAGTCCTTCCGATGAAGGATGCAGCCAACATTCCAAGGGAGTTAATGCTGGATACAGTCGACTTTTCAACACGATGTGCATGCGTGGACAAAGGCTTCCCCTCGGGTTTGAGTTTGCGGTTGTTCGCCCTACAAGGCGCGATTGTCTTACCCACACCTTGTGGCCATGCTCGGTCCAACGATGCGTGCATAGAGCCAAAAGTTTGGATGACAATTGCTGCCACGTCCTGTCAAGGTGTATACTTCCCAAATCTGTCCGGACAAAGCGCAAGTGGTTGCGGGAATCCGCACTTAAAACTTCGAAGCCCTATCCAGACAGGATCACACTGAAACCACTGTTGAGACTCTTGCCCACTGATTGACGCCATCCCAGTCTTTGTCCTTCGCGCCTGTCAGATAGACTGCAAGTCGATTGTCTATCTATCCGCCTGCCTAGAGTCTCTTGCCTTGATTTCTCCGTCTATAATCTATAAACCAAACTGCGAGACGGTGTTCGTACACAAGCATACAAGTGTGCAAGTATGCTTGGACCTGCATATCTGTAAACTCATGCACATATACCGAAACCAAGAGAAACCAAGAGAGCGAGCGAGAGAGAGAGAGAGAGACAGAGAGAGAGAGAGAGACAGAGAGAGAGAGAGAGACAGAGAGAGAGAGAGAGAGCGCACGAGAGCGAGAGCGAGACGAAACCTAGATGCATGAATCACTAACCCCGCAACACCACCCGACACAAATCTCAAGCCCAGGCCTGAAGCTCCCCATCCGGAAGAGTAGTCCTGTCTCCATGCTTCGGGTAGGCCTTGAAGGCCATGTACATAAACCCAAGATGCTATAACATGACTGATGGATTCTAGCGGTATAGCCTCCAATTACATATAGGATACGTATATACATATGTATGATATAATTTATATTATATACATATATCTGTATGAGATGCTACATGCACACATTATTCTGACATGGCACGGTGACATATCAAAGCCAGGAACTCAAGAAGCCCAGCAAGCGAGATTTGCCAAAGCCTCCAGCATTATCATCTGCCGGGTCCTGACCGCCTCCGGAGTTGTCCCAGTTAGCCCAGGGATCGGAGGCATCCTGCGAAGCTGATTCTTGAGCTGAAGTCCAGAACTTCAAGAGATGCCGCAGCCGCAATAACGCGCAATGATCACAGGGCTGATGATGGTCCCTTTGAGTTGGTCATACCTGTAATGCAGGACTACCATGGACCGCACCACTGACTGAGTCAAAGCTACTGGCAGATTCTGCGCTGGAAACTCCGAGCCCTTTGTGAGATGCCCACATCCCTCAAAAAAGACCCACTTAATTTTTTGCGGGAAATGCCCTTCCTCACCTTGTCCCAGGAGTTCTGTCCCCAGGCTTGGTGGTCGTCATGCCGATTGTCACGGTTCCAGCTGTCGTGGGTGCTTGAATCCTGACGGCGGCCCGAGCAAGCATGTCGACATGGACAGGGTGCACACTGATCTTTGTGACTTGCATTGTCGTTGGTTGCTAGACGACAGAATCGTTGCTTGCCAACCCATCTGCGCAGCTGTAGCCGCGGAATC